ACAATATATATATATAATATTATCAAAATTGTGTGTTACATCGGATGTAGATCATTTTCTTGACATAAGGAAATCCAGGTAGATCCTCGTGATTTAGTCTGGATTCACCCACATTGTTTTGATTACCGGGCATAAATAATATTTTTTTATAAAAACAAAAAAAAAGGGATAAATTTAGATCCTCGTGAAATTCTTGTAGTGTCAAAATTATTATACGGTGTTACTCACATGAAACGAACGATTTTGCAGCTATTTTAAAAAAGTTGTGGAAACCGATTTCCATATACCCATGTGAGGAATCGAAGAATGCGGAAATTCTGCTTAATAAAAATTAAAAATCCGATTAGAGCGGGCGGGTCTTAAAACCTCTGGAAATCTGGGAAATATCGTGAATTCTCCATGGTATAGTGATCTACATCTTTCCACAAATTTAGAAAACGGTTGTAAGTGTATATGATGTGATGGATTCCCTTTTGTAATCACAGGACGCGTGGGATTCAAAAAAAAAAATTATGCAGATCGTCGATCCAAACTACGTACGTGAGAAAACTGCTGTTTTCGTCTGCATAATTTTTTTGAGTCCCGCGAGTCCTGTAATTACAACAGGAGGAAACGTTGATGTTACACGACTGATTTTACACATGGTGTGAAACACAAAAAAATTATTTTACAATACTTGATCAGTCAGCTAGTACATGTTATGATTATAATCCCACGCAGATTAGTATAGTATAGGCCGATTTCTAAATCTATACTAATCTGCCCACCTATACTATACTGATCTGCAAAATACTCCCGTAATACTGTTCTACTCACACCCATACCATACTATATTTATTTGTGTGAAGTGCAGATTTAAGTTCAACCCAATCAGTAAAAATGATGTCATGTTTGGTCAGTTTATGCTATTTAATTGACGACACTCTAAAATTTTGTGAATACTTATAAGTATGAACTAGTTTAAGAGTAACAAGTTTATCAGATTACCAAGGTTTTCCGGGTTAACTTGATCATTTTTAATAACACGGTTCGTACCCAGAAATTAAATAATAAAATAATCATCGAACAATTTGTCCTTGAATTTATACGGCATATATGATGGCATACAGCATTTATATGGCATTTGGCATTCATACGGCATATGATATTGCATATATACGGCATACGGCATTTATATGCATATGGCATTTATACGGCATACGGCATTTATATGGCATATGGCATTTATATGGCATACGTACGGCATTTCTACTTATACAGCAAATGTGCCGTATCACCGTGATATTTTGCCGAATAGCTACGTACGTACGTACCTTAAATGCCTGCATAATTACTCATTTGTGTAATGAAAAAAAAAATTAGCCAACTTAAGGGTCTCGTATCGTATCCAGTTAATCACTTTAATCCAACAGCCTTTACAATATTATTTTCCCTCGCTAAGTAAATTGCCATATCAAATCTGTTGGATTAAAGTTGATTAAGGTAGATTAACTGAATATTATTAAAGTACGATACAAGAGCTAATTTTTTTTTTCGTCCAATGAATTGTGTAACCGGGTTTCTCATTTGGACTGTAACATGTGAGCTGCGATCTGCATAATTGATCATAAATACATCATTTTGCAAGGTGATAAGTAAACAGATAAAAGAAAACTTAAATCTTTTACGTTTTTTTATTCGAATTAAATATATATTTTTATTTTGTGTTTTAGGGTGGAATGATCCATTAAATGGTTAAATTTTATGGATCGATAATATTCAATGAACGCGTAGAGTCGGTCAAATTATTATTATTATTTTAATAATGTATGATGACAAAAGAGAAAATAAATCTGAAATAGGCTTTATTTGCAAGAAAAAAAATTATAAATACAAATTAAAATGACATATTAATTTTATAATCAATTATGTATATTCTTCCTCGTCAAAAATCATAGTGTTGCTTCGTTGGAGAATAGCCATAGTTCTGTAGCCTAAAAAAACATCTAATTTAATATTATGTAAAAAAATATATACTTTTTAATAAATAAATACCTGTGTTATTTAACAACAAACGTTCTTCAGTGTTACTAAAATTTTCTATTGTTCTATTATTTAGCATACGTTCATAGTGGAGGTCTGATTCTAATTCTTGTACTCTTTGTCTTAATTCATTAATTTCTTTTTGGAGTTCTTCATTTTTTCGGTTGGATTCATCCTTTTGATTGGTTAAGGTTTTTATAACAATATCTAATGGGTTAGATTTTTTATATTCTTTGGCTTTGGATCTGCCTCCGTTACTCTTATCGATTAATTCTTGTAATTTTATCAACTTAGAAGTCATGTGATCGCCTTTGATATTATTTTTATTCAAAAAATTTGTAACTCTCCTTTGTTCGTGTTGCAGATATTTCACATGTTCTTCATAAAATTCAACCAAATTTTCAAATGGATCAATATTATCGGACCTTGTTAACTTTTTTGAATGAATTCGCGGCATTTTTAATATTTTATTCATCGCAATATTTTTTCCCGTCTTTATATACTTTTTTTTTACAACATACCTACCCATAAGTTTCTATATGGATTTAACTTATCCTTCGGCAATATTGCCAAGGGACGCCATTGGCGTTCGTCAGGGACACGGAAATTATGTGATTAAACCAAAATTGCACTAAATTATATAATTTTGCATCATTTATATCATATCGATGTCACACGTATATTTTTAATAAAAATGTTATTACCTGTACATTTGACTAATATAAAAACTGATTAATAATATAGCCGAGCTATAGTACTTATTTGGGCCGGCACTTGAACAGAAGGGGCACTTAGAGAGGTCTGACTGTAAATTAATAAATTCATAAAGGTTAATTTTTCAAAACATGGAATCAGAAATTTTGGAAATTTGTTTTTTTGAAGTGGACCTATCGGGTAATTCGGAAAATCAAGGTCACCATCGGGTGACATAGGGTAAAATTTATGAAATAAATTAAATAATGATAATGGAATAATTGAAAGAATTAAAAAAAACCGAAAAATTAGATCGACGGGTTATGCAAAACGAAAAATTAACTTTGCTTGGTCTTATTAATGAAACGTATTTTTACATACTGTATGGCCTTCTTTTAAGATGAAAACCCTTCATCATTAAGTAAATCATTTATAGTTATTTCCTCAGTGAGTCCGAATTCTCATAAAAAATTTATTATATGTAGGTATTTATACATTCTGCATATGAAAATTCAGTTTCATAATAAATAGCATGATTCATAAGTCAAATATCAGGATATAAAATATAAGATAAATCTTGGGTACTTGATTAGCAATAAAAAAGATAAAAACTAGCTATCACCTATATATGTTAGACGTCACTTTCAAATTTCCATCATTTAAAAAATGACGTACTGTACATAGCTTCGAAATTTTAAAATAAAGTACTTCATATGGGACCCCCTACAGCAAAAGGGGGCAGTGGGCCAAAAAATTTTTATTTTATTTTAATTGATTTCTTGAAGAATTAGAGTAATAGGAATACAATTTTTATAAAATTACAAAATCAAAAATTTTTTCCCACTGCCCCCTTTTACTGTGGGGATTCCCATATTTAAATCGGTATCGGTATGATTTTATCGATAAAAAAAAAAAAACTCGCAACGTAAATCAAATTATTTTTTTAATTATTGTATTTAACTATTGTATTTAACTTCTATTACGATTGTTACCACATGCTGAAGATTAAACAATTACACAATCTAAAAACCAAAGGATAAAAAGTGGTCCATGATTTTAAGTACAAAGAGCATTGTTCTTACGACAAGAACAACTCCTACTTTCACAATTTGTTTTGTTACAATGACAGCCATCATTTAAGCCTTGTTCAATTTCTTGGTTGGACGTTTCATTTGTGATATATTTACATCAAGTTCAGGAAATTCATCAGTATCTAAGGATTCTAACTCGTTTGCTGAAAACCATGTATCCAAAATTCCAAAGTTTCTTCCAACTTGATATAAGTCGCAATTCCATTTTTAGCCTATCAATCTCAGGAATCCGAATCTTTACGAGATCACCAGGTTTCAAATTTAACACACGTTTTTT